ATGAACTCTATCTAGCATTCTTGGATCCCCCTTTTCCTAGGTGGGCCGAATTTCTTACAGATGCACAATCAATGAGTAGTGCAAGAATGCATATTTGCGACTCGGAAAATTTTGATCAGGACAACTAAATAATCAAATTTAATATTTTCAGAATAACTATGTGCTTTATCGACTTGATCAGCCCTTGTGAATAATAAGAATCATTAATTAATTTGAAGTCTCTCGTGTGCTCAGAGTTCTCAACTAATCATGCCCAGATAAACCAAAGGTATAACTCAAAGTAGATAAGCCATGAAAGCCGACAAAGGGTGACGTGATGTAGCAGTCGTAACTATGACTGCAAATGAGTCACGAGTGCTCGAGTCAAAGCTCGACTCGAGCTCGAGTTTGACCGAACTCGAGTTGAGCTCGAGCGGATCGAGCATGAACTCGGGTCGAGCTCGAGCCTATATTTTGCATTGTCGAGCGGCATATATATGTTAAATTACTAAAATATATTTAAATAGTATAACACAGGTGTTTAATGGTAATTTTACTTTTCAACTTAAAAATTTTCAAGCCGAGCTCGAGCATTTTGATTTCGAGTGGAGCTCGAGCTATTGTATTTTCTTATCGAGTCGAGCCTCATAAATCGAGCTCGAGCAGCTAAAAAAAATTCGAGCAGCTAAAAAAAATTCAATCCTGCTCGATAAGGCCAACGCTCGACTTGGCTCGACTAGTTTGCAGCCCTAGACGTAACATTAGCAAGAGGCAGTAGAAATGGCCAATAGCTCACATGATTCAGTGCACACGAACTGAGTATAATTATGGAAAAAAGACCACATTCTCAAAGCTCATGAACGAGCCAAGTGCCAAAAGTTCCATCACAACAAACACAAACGGCAAAACTAATCTGGAAATGGCATATTACACCTTCGACTTGCCATAAATCAACATAGATATGGTTGTAAATGCTAACAGGCGAGTATGAAAAACACTGCCGCCCCACAAAGTGCAAAAACAGACAAATGAAAAATCATCCCTGCAAAACACCGGGCATTTTGACTAAATTATAGAGAAGCAAGGACCTAAAAACTTGAAATGAAAAAAGGAAAATAAACTAAAGTACCTGCTTTATTAGAGTCACGGCAGTCGTACCACTACAAAAGCAATCAATTGTGGGGTGCGCTTTTAATTCCTTATCCATTAGCCTGAATGCTCTCAATATCGACTTCTTTAGCGGCATATGCATCTCGGGAATCTTCTCGGGTTCCTCAGCTTCCAAAGATTCACAACCATCCTCGTCCACAAAGTCGTCAAATCGCTTCATACCTTCAATATTTCCATTCTCGTGCGCCACTGCTTTAATCGTAACTTCCTTTTCTAGCTTACTTTCCCACTGGGAACGTAATAAAATTGGGAGGGCATCTCTAACTTTCCTTGCCACCATATGACCGTAGGGGCCGTGACCATCGAACACCCCGCAAAAGGTCGCATTTTTATTGACACCCGAATGAAAATTCTACCGCACCGAAAGAAGGAGGGAGATAATCAGAACATACACGGGCCCACGATAAAACTTCTTTTGATTCTTGACAATAGTATTCAATCAAAAGCTAAGGAACAACACAAATTCCTTTACAAAGCAGTGAAATTCAGTTGCACAACTTGTCCTTAGTTAGAATCAACAACTACTCCTAGAATCATAGGTTTGTCATAAGTGTTTGTGTGTGGTTTACTTTAACTATTTCTTCATAGAGAAATGACATTTTGACATTATCAAGGCAGGTGAGTGAAGGAATATCCATAAAGTACCACCCATTGAATTCATATGTACGGTACCTCAGTCCTTGCAAAATTCGAGGGAGTGGTAAAAAAAAAAAAAAAA